ATATATATATATATTATGTATTAATCCTATAAAGTCTTTCTGGTGTCAGACTGGTAGTCTTTATGAGAAATAAGTGTTCCTTTAATAAAACAGGTATTCTGGTTGTTTTAGGTTCCTTTGCAACAGCCTCTTGCCTGATTTGTAAATACAAAGTTGACTGTGAAGCTGTACGTGGAGATATTTTTAATCAGGTAATTTCTTTTACCCACTTGTTTTTAGGGATTGTGTGAAGGCCTGATTTTTGCTATTGCTGTTCCTTCTTTTGATACAGAAACATCCAGGAAGAAAATACTGGAAATTCAGTCTTTTGATAACAGTTCAGTAGAAAAACATCTTCATGCTGAGGCTGGTGGGGCACACTAACGAAGCTAAGGTGGGAGGGCTGTGAGATCAGGCTAGCTCAGGCTGCAACTGCGAAGGAAGAGACTCTCCTTTTAGAAAAGCCTGTGTATCATTTACTTTGTGTTGCTGTAACCATGGCCAAGACCGTGGTTCAAGAAGGGAGAGTTGGTTTGGGCCTCTGGTTTCAGAGGGAGTCCGCAGGGTGGCAAGCATGGCAGCAGGCAGGTGGGGTAGGAGCAGGAAGCACGGGAAGGGAAGTGGGGCAAGGCTGTGAATGCTAGAAGCCTGCCACCAGTGATATATTTTCTCTGGCCAAGTGGCACCTCCTAACCCTCAACACACAGCACCACCAGTTGGGGACCAAGTGTCCAAATAAATCTGCCTTTGGGGGATACCACACAGTCTGGAATCTGGCTTAATTGGTAGAATACTTCCCAGCATGCACAAAGCCCTGGGTTTGATCTCCAGCTCCAATAAATTCTTGTGGGGACACACGCTTGTTCTAATATTTAGCACTTTGGAGGCAGGAGAATCAGAAGTTGAAGGTCATCTCAGCTCAGACTGATCAAGGCCAGCCTTGGCTACCCGAGACCATGTCTCAAAAAAGAAAAAATTCAGGGCTGGAGAGAGGACTCAGCAGTTAAGAGCACTGACTGCTCTTGGAAAGGATGGGATTCAATTTCCAGCACCACATGGTGGCTAACAACCATCTTAACTCTAGTTCCAGGGGATCCAGTCCTTCCTTCTGGCCTCTGTGGGCACTATATGCGCAAGGTGCACATACATGCAGGCAAAATGTGCTGCATACACATTAAAAAAAAATCCTCCATAATACCTCCTTATTTACCTCCTTAACTAAGCCCAGATCACAAGTTACTGGCCTTACTGCTGTTAGCAGTTTTCCTCCTTTCTCTTTCAGTGTTGGTAAGAATTAGAATCTTGACTGGAGATACGGCTCAGCAGGTAAGAGCACTGGCTGCTCATCCAGAGGACCCAAGTTCGATTGCCAGTACCCACATGGTGGCTAATAGCCATCCATAACTCAAGTTCCAGGGCATCTGACATCCACTTCTGGCTTCTGCAGCATTGCACACATGGTGCACTTACATACTTGCAGGCAAAACACTCATAAAAATAAGTGAAAAAGAATTTGAATCTCACATTAGTGAGGATAATGCTATTTAAAACATTTTCAAAACAATAGTAAAGTATTTCCTACGTGAAAATACAGTAATACAGAAAAATCATCCAGAAATACTCTGTTCTGTTTAACTGCATAATCGTACATAACCTGGAAAGTTGTATGTTAAAATGGGAGTAATATTTCACTTTTTTTTTTTGGTCTTTTGAAACGGCCTCCCTGTAGCCCCAGCTGGCCTGGAACTTACTGTGTAGACCAGGCTGACTTCGAACTCACAGAGATCCGCCTGCCTCTGTTTCCCAAGTGCTGGGATTAAAGGCATGCGCTACCACACCCAGCTTCACACACACTTCTTTCTGTTTGTTTTGAGACAGGGTCTCACTATGTAGCATTGGTGACTTAGAACTTGCTATGTAGACCAGGCTGGCTTCAGATTCAGAGAATCTACCTGTTTTTGCCCCCCTGAGTGCTGGGATTAAAGGCATGTACTACCATGCCCAGCTACAAACTTATTTTAAAGATCAAGTTCTATTTTGCTTTTATACCTTTTTCCTTATAGACTTAATTTTTTTTTAAATGTGTATAAGTGTTTGCCTGCATGTATATAATTACATCACATTTCTTGTATGTAGAAGCCAGAAGTGGATGTCAGATCCCCTGGAACTGGAGTTACAAATGATGGTTAGCCAAGTGTGAGTGCTGGGACTCAAACCCAGGACCTCTGTAAGAGCAACCAGTGTTCTTAATCACTTGAGCTATCTTTCCAGCCCTCCCCCCACTTCTCTCTTTTTGAGACGGTCTCCCTGTAGCCCCAGAGAACTTGCTGTGTAGATCAGGCTGGCCTTGATCGCACAGATTTGCCTGCTTCTGCCTCTTGAGTGCTGGAAATATAGACAGTCATGTACTTCCATGCTTGGTATGATACTTTTTAAAATTTTTGTGTGTACATGTATGTATGTGGGTGTGTATGTCATGGCACATGTGTGGCGGTCAGAAAGCTTTGGGAGTTCTCTCCACCATGTGGATTCTCAGGATTAAACTTGTCAGGCTTGACAGAAACTGAGCCATCTTGTAACCCTGTGGTAGCTTCGTGTCACATACCTCTTAAGCCCTCTGGTAGATTTGCATGTCACATACTTCTAAACAGCTTTTCTTCTTTGGAGTAACTCTACAATGCGTTCTTAGTGTTGACAGCTGACTTGGGCTCTCTTCACACCCTTCCATGTAGGTGGTTCCTCGGTGTCCTCGGTGCCCAGTGGACGAGCCGCTTGCTATCATGAAACCGGAAATTGTCTTCTTTGGTGAAAACTTACCCGAACAGTTTCATAGAGCCATGAAGTACGACAAAGATGAAGTTGACCTCCTCATTGTTATTGGTTCTTCTCTGAAAGTGAGACCAGTAGCACTGATTCCTAGTAAGTTGATGTTGAGCTGGGAGGCATTTCTGTATGAGAAACCTTAGTGGCTTTATTAGTTTCGATTTAGAGTTGTGATGATCTAAGCTTTATATTTTTGGTAAGGGAAGGGGGCTACGAAGACTTTTTTTTTTAAGGTTCATTTTTATTATTCATTACATGTATGCATGTACATGGGTGTATGCATGAGTCAGGCGCTCACAGAAGCCAGAGGCATTGGATACCCCTAGAGCTGGAGTTAAAGGTTGTTGTGAGCTACAAAGCAGTGCTGCTAGGAATGGAACTCAGGTTCTCCACAACAGCAGCTTAATGACTGAGCCATCTCTTCAGCCCCAATAACATCAAATTTTAATTGTACTTTATATAAAAAAATTTTTTAAATATATTTTATTTTCATTTTATATGTATGCACATATTGTCTGCATGTAGGTAAGTGCACCCGTATTGTGCAATGCCGAAGGAGGTCAGAAGAAGGCATTGGATCCCCTGGAACTGGAGTTATGGACAGTTGTTACCTGCCCGTGTGGGTGCTGGGATTCGAACCTGGGTATTCTGTAAGAATAGTCAGTGTTCTTAACTGCTGAGCCATCTCTCCAACCCCTATATAAAAATTTAAAAAGCATGTTCAACTCATACTTTTTAATGGCAATTTTTCTTTTTAAAGCTAATTAAAATGGTTTCTGAAGTTTTTCTGAGCTGGGTGTGATGGAGCACACCTGCAACCTCAGCTCTGGACTCTGGGACAGAAAGATTGCCATGAGTTCAAGGCTAGCCTGGACTAGAGTAAGACCTGGTCTCAAAAAATAAAGCATTCTGTTGGTAGTGTGTGTCTTGGTGGTAGCCAAATTAATTTTGCAAACAAGTTTTCAGTAGAATCTAAACAATGCATTTGACACTTAACTCACTCAATCCTTAGCTCAATTTTATGGGAAAGCAATGTCATTTCTCCAGAGGAACAGAGAAGGTACTGCGTAGAAAGGCCTGAGTTGTTCAGGTAACTGAGCAGAATGAGTGCATCTGCTTACTAAGATGGATAGCTCAGGTGAAATGTGACTAGGTTAAGTGTGAGTGGCGGTCCTGTGGCACTGGGAACTAGCCTCCCCTTTGCCATGGTGCATTTATTAACTTCCGCTCTTTCTCTGACTTTTTCCCACTCTTTAGGTTCCATACCCCACGAAGTGCCTCAAATCTTAATTAATAGGGAACCTTTGCCTCATCTACATTTTGATGTAGAGCTTCTTGGAGACTGCGATGTCATAATTAATGAGTTGTGTCATAGGTTAGGTGGTGAATATGCCAAACTTTGCTGTAACCCTGTAAAGCTTTCAGAAATCACTGAAAAACCTCCACGAACACAAATGGTTCATTTATCAGATTTGCCTCCAACACCTCTTCATATTTCGGAAGACTCAAGTTCACCAGAAAGAACTTTACCACAAGACTCTTCCGTGATTGTTGCACTTTTAGACCAAGCAACAAAGAATAAAGTTGATGATTTAGATGTATCTGAGTCAAAAGGTTGTTTGGAGGAAAAATCACAAGAAGTACAGACTTGTAGGGACGTTGAGAGCATTAATGTGGAAAATGTAGACTTGAAGGATGTCTGTTCTAGTCCTGGAGAGAAGAACGAAGCCTCCGAAACCGTGAGAAAGTGCTGGCCCAGCAGACTCGCCAAGGAGCAGATCTGCAAGCGGCTGGACGGTAAGAATGCTGACTTGAACATTGTGAGGTTTTGTAAGGAACATTTACAAGAAATGGGCTTTTCCAGGTGTAGGGGACAGTGCAGTGGGTAAAGTTCTGGCTGCACAAGCATGAGTTCAGATCCCCAGGTGCCCTGCAGTCCCAGCACTCAGGGCTTTCCTGACAAGCTGACTAGCTAGAATTAGCAAGCTTTGGGTTTCAGCTCGAGACCCTAACAAAATCAAGTGGAGAGTGTGATCCAGGACGATATCCAGTGTTAACTTTAAGCCTCCACTCAAATTCATACCTGCACATACCAAAGACAGGCTGTTTTGGCGTTAGTTGATGAAGGTGGTGCTGTGTGTGTGAGGTGTTTAAGTTGGGGAACAGTAAACGGTGTTGGCTGTGCTTCTGTAGCTGATGGGAAAATACAAGTAGCAGGGGTTTTATTTCATGTCTTTGTGGGCATGCTGGGGAAACATTCTTCCACCGAGTTACAGCCCCAACTCTGGGTTTTATACTGCATTGTTTTAGTGGTAAAAATGACGACCAGGGCCAGTGAGATGGCCCACTGGATACCGTGCTTGTGTGAAAGCCTCGTGCCCTAAATGTATCCTTGGAACCCATGTAGAGTGGGCTGGAGAGAACCCACTGCAGTTTTCCTCTGACCACCACATGTGTACCATGGCCTAAAGAATTCACCCACTCTCATACACACACGATAACTACAATTAAAAATTTGGCATAACTTAGAACATTCTTGTTTGCTTTTCCATACTTGGTAGAAATTTGTTTTGGTCTTTTTGAGGCAGGGTCTCCCTGAGACCCCAGCTGGCCTGGAACTCAAACCATGTAGACCAGGCTGGCCTCTATCGCACAAAGATCTGTCTGCCTCTGGAGTGCTGGGATTAAAGGCATTGTACATGCTATAATGCCTGGCCTGAAATTTTTTAGGATAGGGTCTCATACCAGACAACAGGAATGTAATTTATTAATGTTTATGTACCCTGGAGAAAGATAATTTCCACCAGACCTACTTTGCTCTTAACTGAAATTGTAAAGTTCATAGATTTTAAGTACAGGCATCATCATCATCACAGCCCTGCTGAAATTTTAGGTTCAATGTTATTCCAATCATTTGCTGTAAATTTTCATGAGACAGGGTCATCATGTATCCCAGACTAGCCTCACATTCAGTATGTAGCTTCCTCCTGCCTCCACCTCCCCAGTGCTGGGATTACAGTTGTGAGTCCCCGCACCTGGTTACATGGTTATACAGTTCTGGTATGGAACTCTGGGCCCTAGGCAAGCACTCTCCCAGCTGAGCTACGTTGCTAGCTCCTGTGAACAAATTTTAGTTCTGTCAAATAAAGACCACATACTGTATAATTCATTGTAAAAACAAGTGTTAAGTGCCCTTTATAATATTGTTTTGAACTTGGCACCCCTCCTCCCCCAAGAATGTGTTTGGAAAGTCTCTCATATCCTGATTTCTAAGTAGAACCAAACTTCTTAAGCAGTAAGATTATCTTTTTCTCAGATTAGCATAGGAGCATTCTGTTTGGAAATATGGCATAAGACCAGATTGATTTTAGTTAGGTAACATAAGCCCACACCACACTCAGTACAAGTACACAGAAGCACTGGGAGTTGTCCTTGACTCTATGTCAGATACAGTCATTCATGCCTAGAATCCAGGTTGAATACACTCCACCCCACATGCAGTAATAGCGCCCAGTGATCCTCGTAAGGTGGACTTGCCCTTGACTCCAGACTGCCTCATCTCATAAAACTGAAAGTAATTTTTTTTTGTATTTCAGGTAACCAGTACTTGTTTTTAGCACCAAATCGTTACATATTCCATGGCGCTGAGGTGTATTCAGACTCTGAAGATGACGTCTTATCTTCCAGTTCATGTGGTAGTAACAGTGATAGTGGCACATGCCAGAGTCCCAGTGTAGAAGAACCCATGGAAGATGAAAGTGAGATTGAAGAGTTCTACAATGGCTTGGAAGATGATGCTGATCTACCTGAGGGTACTGGAGCAGCTGGATCTGAAGTTGATGGAGGGGATCAAGAGGCAGTTAATGAAGCTATATCCATGAAACAGGAAGTAACAGATGGAAACTGTCCATCAGATAAATCATAATATTACAACCATTGTCCAGGTACAGGAATTGTTCCACCAGCATTTGGAACTTCAGCATGTCAAAATGAATGTTTACTTGGGAACTCAAGAGAGCAAGGAAGTCGGAATGGTGTAATATTTATAGACTGTTGAAATAAGTTTCACATGGGTAGGTCCATCATTTCTGTACGTACATTTGTTAACACTATTTAAAGATACTAGGTATCTTTAATCAGCTGTTGGTCAGCTTCACTTTCTTTTTTTTAAAAGGTTCATTTGTATGATACATCCATATGTATATATAACTTTGTTTTTGCCTAGCGAGTTTCAACGTTTTAAAGTTTTCAAAAAGCCATTGGAATGTTTAATGTAAAGGGAACAGCTTATCTAGACCAAAGAGTGGTATTTTCACACTTTTGTTTGTAACATTGAATAGTTTGAAATCCTGAATCTCTGTTCTGCTGAACTTTTATTTAGCACAGTACCTATTTTTAAACACTGGCATTTTCCAAAATTTGTGGCAGCTAACTTTTTAAAATCACAAACGACTTGCAATGTGAGTAGGAGTTCAGCATGTGGGGAGCACTCAGTTATCTGTGCTTTTTAAAGTCAGATGTGGTGCTAAGAGTTTCGGGAGTATTTGCTGAACTGAAGACGGCTTCTGTACTTGTTGCAGACATGTATTAATGTCTAAACAGGCTCCTAAGACTAACCTGATAAATAAATGCTTGGAAATGTTTCAGTGCCTGCCTAGATCCCCTTAGTTTGAATATTTGCCATGGTTTAAATACCTATCACTGTGGTAGAGCCTGCATTGATCCTTTCCCACAAGTATTAAACTGCCAAGACATGAATATGCAAAGCCTTTCTGAGTCTAATAATGGTACTTGGGGAGAGTGTAATATTTTGGACTGCTGTTTTTCCATTGAGGAAAGCAACAGGCCTCTGATTACAGTTCCAAAGTAGTAAGAGATGAATTTTTTATAACTCAACCAGAAAGTACATTGTCTCCTGTTGAGAATTTGGTGTAATGACTACCAAACCATTAGCCTAGTATTATGGAGATGAACACAGTGTAAGTTGTAATAGCAGAATAGTTCATGAATGAAAATAGTTCTTATTTATTTAAAGGCTTAGCCTGCCTTAAAACTAGAGATCAATTTTCTGAACTGCAGAAGCTTCTCGCCTTTCAAAGGAAGTTCATACTTTATTAAAAACTTTGCAGTCAACATTTACTTTACAGACTTTGAACATGACTCCCAAATTTAAGTATTGCTATGTTGGTTAGTATTTATTACAATAAAAAGGGTTTGACATAGAGCTGTTCTTTATGCATAAAATACCCACCTAGGACCATTACTTCCAGAGGAGAAAGCTGTTGAGTGGCTCCTTTCCGTACCTAAGAGATTGCAATCTGAATTTATCTGGCTACACTGAAGAATGCGGTGTACTTAGTTTTCCATTTGCATGATGTGATTGTGCTAGAGATGATATTTTAAATTGAAAAATTTGTTTTAAATTATTTTTACAGTGAAGACTGTTTTCAGCTCTTTTTATATTGTACATAGACTTTTATGTAATCTACTAGCATATGTTTTGTAGACTGTTGAATGACTGGACTATCTTCCTCCAACTTTTGAAATACAAAACCAGTGTTTTATACTTGTATCTTGTTTAAAGTCTATTAAAATTGTCATTTGACTTTTCCTTTTGTTAACTTACCCTGTTTAAAGTAGAACAATCTGACTAGGCTGGCTCTTGGTAACACTGGTTGTAGCAGATGGTGTATCACCAAATGTCTCAAAATTAGAAACTTAACCATTCTAAAGTAGGGCCATAGCAGGTACATGTGGGGTGTGAGAGGCAGGGTAGGGCAGCAGGCCATGTTACATAAAAAATATTCTCAGGTACCAAGCAAGGCTCAAGACTGAGGAATAATCACATCTGTTAGCTACCTCTACTGACACCGAGGGTATTTGGGGGCATGCATCTGCTGTCTTACCGTGTCCCCAGAATGTCCTCAAAAGACCATCTTTAGTCTCTCCATTATCAACTTTTTGGGACACTGACTCTTATAGGCTGGCCATGTAGCTGATGAAAACCTTGAACTTCTGATCCTCCTGTCTCCACCTCCTGTACCAAATGGACAAAGACAAGCCATTGAGCTACAGTACTAGTAAAGACAGATATGGAGAAATGGTCCAATGACTTGTCCTCTCTGGAATGGCAGCAAATGAGAGGACACTAAAAATCACCTGTGCATGGAGCTAGCCAGAGCCTACTTCTGGAATAAAGCCAAAAACTCCATGAGCAAAAATGAGTTCTGCTAGTCACAGGGTGTCTGCTTGTAATCCAGCATTGTGGAGGGTGAGGCAGGAGGATCTGTAAGTATCCCTTGGGCTACAGTGTGAGAGAGATCTTGTCTCAAAAAGCTAATAGGTGGTTGGTGAGAAACAGCTCCAAAGTGGTCAGGAAGATGGCTCAGGCTACGCACAACTGACTCCTGACCATATTTTTCTGTGGTGCACAACACAAAGTAACCACTAATGAACAAGACAGCTTGAGAGCTGCACAACGGTTCAGTGTACCTGCTGCTCTTGCAGAGGCGCCAGGTTTGGTTCCTAGCACCCACATGGCAGCTAACAACCATTCTTGACTCCCAGTTCCAAGGGATCTGATGCCCTCTTTGATCTCCGCTGACATTGCTTACACATGGTGCACTCGTACACATGTAGGCAAAGTACACGAGAAAAATTTAAAAATTATCTTGGGAACGATCCTGAGGTTACCACTGAGACGTGTAGTGTACTTGGTACTTTGATTTTTTTCATGTTAAAACAAGGCAATTCGAAACCTCTTTAACAATACTTCCTAAAATTTTTCTATGTGTATTGCCTGCATGTAGTGCACCCATCGTGCAGTGCCTGCGGAGGACAGAAAATGTCTTACAATCGCATGCAGCTATCAAGGTTGCCAAACTAGTGTTTAGGATCTATGCTGGAAACAGTTATCTCAAGGTGGTTCAAAGCCACTGTTTTTTTTTTTTTTAATTGTATTTATTTTTTTAATTGTGTGTGAGTGTTATGCCTGCATGTAGGTATGTGCACCCGTGTCATGCAATGCCCGTGGAGGACAGAAGAGGCTTCGGATGTCCTGAAACTGGAGTTTCGGATAGTTGTTAGCTGCCATGTGGGTGCTGGGATTTGAACCCAGGTCTTCTGCAAGAACAGTCAGTGTTCTTAACCACTGAGCCATCTCTCCAGCCCTCTTTAATGACACTTTCATCAATCCTTGCTTTGCTGTTAATGTGGTAACTGGGAGGAGTGTCATCTTTTAATCCAAAGTGGTTACTGTTTCACAGATCAGCTTTACACATTAATGAAGGCTTAAAAAGATATTTTATAGCCAGGTGTGGTGGCGCATGCCTTTAATCCCAGCACCCGGGAGGCTGAGACAGGTGGATCTCTGTGAGTTCGAGTCCAGCCTGGTCTCCATAGTGAATCCAGGCCAGCTGGGGCTATAGGGAGACCCTGTCTCAAAAAAAAAATAAAAAATTAAAAAAAAAAATATATATATATATATAATATAAACGCTGTATTGTGCAATGACTACAGAGGACAGTATCAGATCCCCTGGAACTGGACTTAATGGCTGTTAATGGCCATGTGGGTGCTGGGATCTGAACCTGGGTCCTCTGCCAAGAGCAGTCAGTACTCTTAACTGCTGAGCCATCTCCAGCCCATGAAGGGTTTTTAAAATATTTTTATGTATCTTGAGTGTTTTGTATGCCATGTATGTAAGTGTACCATGTGCATGCCAGAAGAGGGTGTCAGATCCCCTGTAACTAGAATTATGGTTGGTTGTTAGCCACCATGTGGGTGCTGGAAACTGAACTTGTATCTGCAAGAGCAGCCAGTGCTCTTAACTGCTGAGCCATTTCTCCAACTCTTAACAAAGTTTTTAGATTTGATCAACCAGCTTCAAGGACATACCAGGTACATGGATAAGTTTTACAGGGAAAATATGCCTTCAGGAAGTTATGTGACAACTGTTTTGGTGGCTTTGTTGGACTGCAGAGGGGTCATTTAGTGAATAGTACAAACAGCCTCAACAATTCAGATAAGGTTTTGTGGTGAATGACTAGGAGTAGAGAGATGGCTCAGTGGTTACTGCTCTTGCCAAGGGACCCATCTGGTCTCAGCACCCATATGTGGGGAAGCACACAATCACCTGTAACTCCAGTTGGGGCTCTAATGCCCTCTGCCGGACTCCATTGGCACTGTAGTCATGTGTATGCCCCCCCCCCCCAATAAAAAGTTTTTTAAAAAGAGACTAGTCCTTTACAAAACAGAACACAATTCAAAATTTAAGAAATTCCCTAGGACGGCCTCCTTTCTAAGGAATTTTGAATTTTATATGAGAACCACTGAAAGATGAAATATTAAACCAATAAACCTTTATTTAAACTTTTCATGGCATATTTTTATAAATTTAAAAAATAAATATTTGCATTATAGCAGAAAGTCACATGTATTGCATCAACTCACTTCCACAATTTATCAAGAGATTACTAAGCAACAGCACCATAAAACTCAGAATTTGTTTCTCAGAATGCAAGTTCTAAAGTACTGAGCATCCTAGTGAGTACCTGCGGCAGTGATAGCTCCGCAGCTGGTTCTCACAGCAGCTAGTTGCTGTTTCCGGCGGCTCTAAGCGTTGTACTACTAAATGTCAACAGGCTTTCTGACAACTTCCCCATCTGCCAGGACTCAGAAAAGGGGAGAACTACAAATTAGTATTAATGTAGGTCTGCATGAACATTCATTGTTGTAAAAGCTGTTTCCACTATGCTATTTTACAGAATCCGGGTAAGATTAATTCATAAATTTTAACCCATAAAATTCAGCTCAGTTCAATTACAACCATAGAAAACTGTACTAGTATCTGAACATAACTATTTTATTACAAAACTTTATTATTTACAAAATGGAAAAATAATCAAAGGACTATTCGCAGGCCAAAGTTAAAGTTGTTTTTTTTTTTTTAACCCGGTGATTCAAGAAACATTAAGCAACATTTCCATGCACTCACACATCAGGTCATTTCTGAAATATGCAAACTCTTAAAATTCATGTTAGTAAAACTTTAATGTATTCACAATACTTGTATATTTATGAGGATGGGGAAAATTTGTAGGTCTGTACAGTAACTCTAGTATTAACAGTTGCTCAATTTAGTATTTTTTGGCTTTCATCAATACTCATCGTAGTGAACATTTTGTAAGAATTAGTTTCACTTTGTTGAATTCATCACAAGAAAAACACTACTAGTTAAACTGAAAAGTTAGAACTCCCGTTATATTAAACTGAAGCCTTCATTGTGATCAATAGCTTGGATCAGTTTACGTCGTAGAGTTTCTTTTTCTGTGTATTTTGGAAGATCTAGGAGATTAAAACAGGTATGGGAAACGGGGAGATAGTCCTCCCCACCTCCTGTTGACTGGATGACAAGCTTCAGACTCTTCATACCAAGAATAGGGATGCGATCACTACCTGTCAAAAATACTACCAAGGAAAAAAAAAAAGCACAGTAAGTAGCAGGTAACATTTAGTTGCATGAACAATAGCTGAACTCATTAGAATGCTCAGGTGGAAGCAGAGGGCAAGACTTATTAATCCATGCACTGTATAATCTTATTTTTATTTTTATTTTTTTTATCCTTTTGAGACGGGCTTTCTAGTCCCAGGCCTGCCTGGAACTCACCACCTGCCTCAGTCTCCTGAGTGCTGGGATTAAAGGCCTGTGGCCACCATACCCAAAAAATGTAATGCAATCTTTTATATATATATTTTTTTTTTGAAACAGGGTCTCCCTGTAGCCCCAGCTGTCCTGGAACTCACTGTATAGACCAACCTGGCCTTAAACTCACAGAGATCCACCTGCCTCTGCCTCCCAAGTGCTGGGACTACAGGTGTGCACCATCATTCCTGGCAATCTTAGCTATTTTTACAGGTGATGTTCAATAAATGTTTGATGAACAATGTTGGTACCAACAAAAATGTTTTGGGAACCCTTTTCAGAAGAGCCGTTTAGAGAACCAGTCAATAAACGGGGGGGTGGGGGTGGGGGGGTGTCTGTGGATACGCAGGAGCTACAGTCACACACAGTTCTCTGGCTACTGTGGCACTTAAATTCTTTTGGCAAACTTAAAAAACCCTGGTAGGGGCTGGAGAAATGGCTCAGCAGTTGAGAGCACTGACTGCTCTTGCAGAAGACCCGGGTTTGATTCCCAGCACCCACATGGCTACAAACCATCCTTAACTCCAGTTCCAGGGGAATCTGAAGCCCTCTTCTGACCTCTGCGGCATTGCATGACACGGGTGCACTCACATACATGCAGGCATAAAAAAATAAAATATTTTAAAAAAACCCACCCTTGTGTAAAATTATTTTCTGTATCATAAAATGCCACCTGGGATAATCGCACACACCCGCACTCCAGGACTTGGAAGGTGGAAGCACAATTGGCTACAAGAAATTGCTCTCAGGCTGGAGGGATAGCTCAGCAGTTAAGAGCACAGGTTGCTCTTGCAGAGGACCTCGGTTCTATCCCCTGTACCCACGTGGTGGCTAACAATGTTCCCAACTCCAGTTTTAGGGGATCCGATGCCGTCTTCTGACCTCTGCAGACGACATTCCTGCACTT